AAACTTATCTTTCTGCATATAAATGTATCCTATGCTTTTAAAATTTAGTGATTATGACTAGTACTTTTGATCATGAACTGACAGTGAGTTAGAGAAGCATTGAAAAAACAGTGTACTGGGTAGCCATCTGGGACTCCTCAGCAGTACGCACCCACCGAGGTTTGAACCCCAGTACCTTCCGGTTATAAGGTGAGCTTGTAGACCATTCAGCCACTGGGACTCGTTTCAATGGCCCATGAAATCCAACTTCTGCCAATTCGCGATATGTATGTGGAAAACACCAGCCAATATCATCGGTGAGTAACTGTCCTCTTACCTGAGTTAATGGACTCCACTGGTCATGCCTACCCACTAGAACTGCAGGTTACTTCCTGTTTAGAGTCAGCGGCTAGTGAGCATCAGATTAATTGTCGAGCATGGGTTTGCAGGGATTATGAATAAGATTGTCTTAGGAGATGTTGATTTTGATAACTGTTTCATTGAATCATTTATAAAGTCATAGTTATACAATTAATAATAATGTAATAATAGTAACATGGTTGCTATGATAGAATTGATTTTTCCACTTATATCTGGTTCTTGGGAGAGAGGAAATAAACACAATACAATAAGATTAATCTAATGCTATGGACACAGCTATTTGTGTACCTTCTTTCTTGCATAGAATGTTATATAAATAGCATAATATCTGAAACTTTATGTGGACTGTGGTTCTATGACTTCATTACACAAATGCAATAGTTGAATTCCTTGTGTTTGGGATAAAATTACTGCCAGTTTGTGGAAAACTCTTACTTATTTTTTAATTATATATAAATGTTGATACTTAGTGGTTGAAATGTCGACTGTGATGAATACTGTGTGAGCAAACCGAGGCTTTGGTGTCTTGGGTAACATGAGGAAGAGAAAGAAATAAGTTGAATGGGTTTAGGTAATACAGAGTATACATATACGTCTGTGGTATTACAAAGGATTTTACGTTATTTCACTACGATTCATTTTCTTACATAGATTTCATCTAGTCTCACGGATAATAAGCTTGTCTTCACATCAGAACCAAAAAGCCACGTCGACCGTATTGTATTGCAATAATTGTATCATTTGACAAATCATGTAGCCATAGTTAAAATCACAATTGGTGTTCCTATTGTGTTAGATTTCTAAATTCAACCATAAATACTGCTGGAATGGCTAAAGGCGTAGCTACTGGCTGACACTGAACAGGAGCACATATCTAGTTGAGAAATAGCCTTCAAAATTGGAATAAGCGAAACTCCTCCGGTGGGATACCGAACTTAAACAACAAATAATGGCTTATCTACTCTAAACTTGTTGTTTCAACAAACGTTATGGTTGTATCATTTTGTTCAGTCTCTTTTTAGTGCATTTTTCCTGTTTCTAAAAATTTGAATTTCACACTGCTAATCCAGAAAGGAACTTATCGATTTTAGGTGAATGTTTGTAGGCACTAATCGTAAAAATAGACATATTTGAACAATGCTTGAAAATTACTTTGTAAGTTAATATCCATACTGAACAAAAATATCTGTTAATTAAAGAGTCTAGTTTAATTATCGATATTTACGGGGAAATGTCTAATTTCGAATAAGTGAAGCTGAATTTAATCCTAGAAAAAAAATTGTATTAATGATTCTGATTATCTCGACTGCAGTCTAAGGGGGAGTAGAGTGAGGTTTTATTGTCTTTAGTCGGTGTGGATCGATAATACCTTCCATTTCTTTGCTGACTATGATTTCCGGGCATAGATATCGCTGTGGGTATATCATTTTTAAATTCAGTTGCTTGACTTAGGTTGAAATCAATGGATGATCAATTCCTGTTATCATTTGAGCAGGTAGTATACCTCTCTTTATCATAGGTTATTGCTAGGTGTTGGGTACTCTGTAGACTTCAACCAAACTTTTATGTCTAGTACTGTTTGTATAACTGTAGTTTCCTGTTTCCTGGATGGTGTGGATAATCTAGACTAAAACTTAACGTGTTCATAATGTTTTCAATGCTAGTCAATTATGATTCCTTATTTAAAGTTGTTTTTATGTTCATTAGTTTAACTCACTATCCTTTGACCTCACTAAGGCATTCAAAAGGTATAGGAATATAAGTGAACTTGCATTTGAGCACATTCTACCTCTATTTAAATAGCCTAGCAACAAGCCTCATACTGTCAGCCTAACTTCTATCCAGTACTGATTCATTTAGATATTGTATTTTTATCAAACCGTGGGATTATTCTTGTGCTTGTGTGTGTGAGAGAGTAATTCGGCAAGGTTAAGCCCAGATATAAGCAAATTAAATGTCTAGCCCAATAAATATTTTTTTCACTAATTTAAGCTCCATTATAGGTTATGCATATAAGACCTATAAAATCATACTGAGGATGGTTACACACCATTTCTTCTATAAAAGTGAGACTACTTGTGGGTGAGTCATCATCTTGCGATCCACTGTCATCACCATTATCATCTTAACAACACCATTGCTTCAGCTTTTTTTTAAACACTTGTAATAAAATCAATGTTGTAAATACAAACCTAAATTACAGTACATGCGTCACAATTTGACGAGTATTTAGTATTCGAATGTAGATGTTACGGACCATAGAAACTATTGTAAATCGAAGATATATCCATTTAGTCATATGACATACCTAAGATAGCTGTTGATTGCAATTCTAATTCCGACCGTATGGTAGGAATGTTTACTCATGAATACGAATACTTTTTTTTGTCACAGGCTTGTAGATTTAGCTACAGTCCTAGCAACTATACTTAAAACAGTAATAACGATTTTACTAACATCTTCTCCATACTGAAACATCCTTCCATTCATCAAATATTATAAAAAATGTATTGTTATCAGGATGAGTAAGTGCTTCCTATTCAAGTCACTTGAGTGAAATGTCACCTAATAAATTGTGGGTGATGTGGAGTTGATGGTTTAAGACATGTTGCTTAGGTGGACAAAGACAAAAAGTGATGAGTGGACTAGAATTTGGACACATTCTGCTGTTTTTGAATAGCCTAGCAACATGTCGTCTATCCTCGGTCATGATGTGTAGCTACTATGTGACACCTATTGTCCAGACAGTAGTAAAACTCGTTCAGTAACGCCGTGAATTCGGTAAATTGGTCGAAGGATTTCATCATGTGCTGACATCAGTTAGAGAACCATTGGAAAACCTGGGAATACTGGACAGCTGTTTCGTCCTATTTTGAGACTCCTCAACGGTATGTACCCATCGCCAGGCTTCGAAACCAGGACCTTCCGGTTACAAGGCCAGAGAACACGTAGATTATTAAGCCACTTGGACGCGATCAAATGACCAGCTTATGAACTCTAACTTCTGCTAATTCATGACATATCGCGACCACTTTGCATTGTCTTCTCCGATGAGTTATTGCTTCACCTTCAACTTGCTGCACCCTACTGGTTACGAGTTCCCATTAGACCCCCAGATAACTGCCTGAATAGGGCCAGTCGCTAGTGAGCATCAAATCAATTTTCAAGTTTTGGTTTTGTAGGGATTTTGTTTTCGTTGGAACCCCGGTGTGTGCGTACCACTGAGGAGTCCCAAACTAGGACGAAGTCGGTACTTGGAAATTACTCAGTAATAGATTCCTATACATTTTTGGTAAATATAAATACGACTGTACAGCCTCTGAAGATGATTTTGTCGCTGAAAAAAATTCTACTCGCTGAATTTGTGTTTTATTTTCATGACTCAATGGGTATTTTCGGTGATTCAATTCGGTAAATCTTAAAAATATCAACTACTGGCTGGTAAATTAAGTATAATAACTTCGTGCACTTATTAAAAATTGTGGGTTATGAGTTTTATTGCTTCTAAAATTGAGTAATTGCAATCCCTTGTTATTTTTAGGCGTATAGTGAAGCAACTGCTTAAGTCTTATTAATTAATTTAAAGAGAATATTAGTTGACCCGTAATATAAATTTTTTCAAACCTTAATATTTCGTTCATTTATCGGGTATCTCCTTCTCTTCTTTGTTCATCGTTAGTAAATCATGACTTAATTATGGTCTGTATTAAGAGAAGAGAGGTGTAGATTAGTACTTTCTAATGTTACTTCATAATATAACACAGACTCGAATTACACACATTCTTCTATCGTTGAAGCTCGTGATCTTATCAAAACTGGTATGAGTTATATATGGTCAACTAGATAGTTTCAAAAATCTCATGTGATTACGAAATTGAATTGTATTCTCTACTACGTTTTCGTTTTATCAAATATTTTTGAAAATTTAGCGACAGAATATTTAAATAGTTTCCGAGGCGGTATTCCATTAACAGGGGATATTTATGGCACTGACTGGCGATGGGAATTGTTTGATGTTCCCTAAGCTAAGCATTTTACTGTTGTGATAGGAGAACTGTAATTTTAAAACAATCATATAGTTTTTGAAAAGAGCACTTAAATGTTTTTAATACATTCTTTTTTGTACACGACCATTGAGGTTTCAAGAATGATTGTTGAACTGAGTAAGCCATCGTCTAAAATCCCTGGTAAATTAAATTTAATCTTGACTGCTGTCCAGCCAGTCCGTATTAGTAATGCTGACAGCATAAAACACCTTGGTAGGCTATTCAAGTATATCTGAATGTGTCCAACTACTAGTTCCTCTCCTAACACTGTGTTTGCATAGAGCTTAGCAACATGTCTTATACCGTCAGAGCTTAGCAATTATCAGTTAAAATATAAATTAACTCAGCAAGATTCAAATATTGTTGCTTTTTTCGTGAGTAGAAAAATTTAATGCATTACATGTTAGTTTGTATGTGTGTGTGGTTCAATTGCTAAGTGAAACAATCCTCCTATTCATTAATAATCGTAGACATAGCAACCGACAAATATTGTTCTTTTTCCCTGCTTTAATAAGTTTTATAAGACTAACCCTTAATCTGCTATATAACGATAGAACTTGCAGTTTCTTCATTTCTTTTTGTTTTGTTTTTTAGTTTCAAACGGGATCAAATCAATTAATAAAGATCTTGGACCATTAACACTACCACCATCAGCGTTTTCAGCTAGTTCTGTTTATCAGGATAAACCTGAATACCAACCACATAAGGCGAAGTAAGTTAATTGTCTTTATCAGAATTTCTGTTCTTGTAGCGGTTGTATCATTTTTCTACCCTGTGCCAATATCTATTACTAGACAATTTCGATGCAATTCAAGTGTTTTCCCCCTTTTTCATACGAAAAACATATTTAATAAGCTGTAACAAATATCTGTCTGCTTTTTTTGTGCTGATATTACTTTAACTTGAAGTATGAATCCCAAGTTTGAAATAATATAGGTTTGTTGTTTTGTGTAATGGTTGAAATTGTTTGGTGTTTTCTTCCTTGACCTTTAGTATTTCACCATGAGATTTCGTCACCATACTTAGTGGCATCTTCAGCACTAAACGGCTCAAGATTCTTAATTTATTCAGTAAGCTTTTGGATCGTACGAACTGTGAAATGTTTTGTTTCATAATAAGAACATCTAAATTGGGTTATTTTGTGTGAGATTCCTCAGAGAAAAGCTGAAATATTTTTTTACAGATTGTGCTTTCAGTGACAAACCGTGTATAGTGTCGGGATAGAACCACACTGACAGTGTTTCTACCATGAGCTGTTTGTACATACATGTACTCATGTTGAAGGTAGGATGTAAAGTAACTACAACGTTAACGAATTTATGTTATTCAAGTATTGGTTTGTAGGGGTTTGATTGATTGGTTACAGGATTTCATCATGGGCTGATATTGGTTAGAGAACCATTGGAAAACCACCTGGAATTACTGGACAGCTGTTTCGTCCTAGTTTGGGACTCTTCATCAGTATGCACCAGGACCTTCTAGTTCGGGTCTCAGTGGCTTAATGGTCTACGAGCTCGCGTTGTGACTGGGAGGTTGTGAATGTGAACCTTGGTGGGTGCGTACTGCTGGACGAAACAGCTGTCCAGTACTCCCAGGTTTTCCAATGGTTCTCTAACCAATGTTAACTCTTGATGAAATCCTCCGACCGATTTACCGAATTCACGGCATTACTGAACGAGTATTATTATTTCCGCGGTTTCTGAGTGGAACATAGGGCTTCAACAACACATCTCCCCTTCCTTCTATTTTCTGCTATCCTCTTCAGCTGGGACCATGCTTAACCATAATCTGTCATCTCCTTCTTGCACGATCTGCCCCATGTCACCCTCGGACGACCCACTCGTCGCTTCCCATAGGGATTCCACTCGAGCGTTGGCCTGCCGAGTGATGTCATTCGACGGCCTCAGCGTATGTTCAATCCATCTCCACTTTCTCCGACATATTTGTTAGAGAATCGGCTCTTGGTCGGTTTGTTCATCGTCAGAGTTTCTTGTTGCTAGTTCTTTCTAGCCGGCCGGCCATTCGATATTCAGTATGGAACAAACCAGCGAAGGCAGCTGTTGATAAATGTCAGTAATTTGTTGGAAATCCTTTGAATGACGCACTGGCCAAGTTTCTGACCCGTATAGAAGAACTGACTGACTCATTTGTGTTGAAAATCCGAATCTTGTTCTTTATGTTGAGTCAGTGCAGAAGATTTCCAAACTGTTTGCAGGTTGATGAAGGTGTATCTTGCCTTTCTGTCTGCCTTTAACATCTTCATCCATTCCGCATGTGGTTGAAACTGTGCTTCCTAAATAAGAGGAAATAACCTCTTTCAAATCACTCCCGTTGATAGTGGTTTTTGCATGTTAGAGTGTGCTAACATTAAATCTTTTGGTCTAATCATTTTAATACAAATTAATATCATGGAAGTTAACACATTTGCAAAACTTTAAAATAGCTCAAAAAGGTGAAGAAAGCAGTGAACAAATCTTTGATAGAAGAAATGTAACAAAGAGTAATCAAGATCTTCAAAGTTTTAAAGATAGCGTAGAGTGAATACATTTCAGTCACTATGGAAAGCCTTTAATCCTATCACTTAAAGTCTTCAATTGTTATTTCCTAGCCTTCCGAGAACCCAAACCAGACAGCTTGAAATATAGTCGCAAATTTAATTGTAATGAAACCATGTTTTAGTGTGACCATCTCAAACTTTTACTTACCTAACATCCTATTAAGGAAAGCGGTAGCTCAATTATCGCAACACATCATGCAAACATCTGTGTCTATTAAGACTCGTGGACAAAGTTAAGCTACAGCATCCGAAGGGATGCGAACGCACGAGTGACCCTGAACCGACCAACCATAAAATTAAGTGATTTTTGCACAAAAAATGACGTTTATTTACATGAAAACCCTGATCCTAACCGTAATGACCTATTAACACATTGTCCAAGCATTACTTAAAAACGTGGTCTGGGTGAATTTCGCTCCTCAGTTAGTGAACAGCGTTCATATTTGCATTATGATAATAACAGGTGTCCTTAGCCAATGAATACCATGCGTTCAAGGTCATTGGAGCGTTCGCATCCCATGGGACGCTTGACCTTGTTAGTTTACATGAGGAACACTTACCGCATGAAATTAAACTAAGGTAGTTGTGGTTTGAAATCGCAAACATTTAGTTTCTTCTATCTCACAACCATAAAGAAGGACGGAGGGAAATACTGTAAAATATTCAGGTTTATTGTTAGGTAGCTAGTTATTTCGCTGACGTGAAAAATGACTCATGTTGGGTAGTACCAAAGAAATCGCTTTATCCATTGGGGGGAGAATACTTTTTAACCAGTTCTTTCGAATGAATACGGTTGTCCAAGTAGGTAAAAGGTCAGGTGATTCTACCATATTACTCAGTGGTCTAGACCAGCCCTACAGCGTCACCTTACATTTTGTACATTTTACTTTTCTATTAGCAAATAATTAAGTAAATCTTTCATTCTTTCCGGGTTATAAATACATAATCTATAAGAGAGAACTATCAAATCACCAATAAGTGACAAGAAGCTAGTGATAAGTAGCATAAAGAATATCAGAGGTATAAATTATCTGCAGTCACTGTTGGAGAAGCTGGTCAATGTGATAAGATGTAATTTTATATTAAATGTCTTTACTTAGAAAAGTAGACAATGAACACCTTTCATGAGCAATGAATTACCTATAATCAAATCAAGGTAGTTACACAACTCTGACTCTAAATTTTAATGTTTCATTCATCCTCTTCTCCTTAGTCCTGTGTTGGTAATAAAATTTCTTATATCTCTGAAATTGATTAAGTGTCATTTCTATCGAGTACATCATGTGTTGATTCAATAAATAAGCGACTGAATTACCAATGTCTCTCTCCATCTAACTATACTGATCTGTATTGTTTGATTATATGTCACGACATGCATAAGAAAAGTCAATTTTTCTCTGTAGATCATCTATAGTGGTGTGGAGTCTGTCATTCCTGATATATATGCAGTATTTATTTATCAAAACCAACATCTTATGCATACAATAAATGTTATACAACACCATCTCCAGCTATGTGGAAAAAAATTTCTTATCAATAAAATAGAAAATCAAGGTATATATAAAGTATAAAAACGAGGTGTTGGAAGTTGTATCACTGGCTCTACATTATAATGGGCAATAAACTGTCCTTGTATCACTGTGTACCATATCAAGTAAACACATCTTATGTGGATTGTGTTCACGTAGTCTAAAAATGCAACATCATGCAACCAACACGTGTCTATCAGACATTCAATCTGTAACCGTCAATTAGACAGTCTACCACAATCTGGTTATCCTATAGACGTAGTGACAACTATCGCTTCTGTAAAGCCTAATTAATAACCAGATTCCAAACAGTAACTTTTGAATCACTGAGTCAATTTCTTTTTGCCTAAACCTCACTGCTGTTTGAAGACTTCTTTCAAGTGGAGCACTAGTCTGTTTGAAGCTATCTTCATATTCCAGGTAACTGTTGCTTTTCAAGCTGTAAGCATTAAAATCACGAGTCTACTTATCGATAATAAGATTATAGAAGATAGGTCTAGTCGATAAACTTGTGATACGTCGAACATAAGTGTTTCCTTAATTCCAATACAACCTCAGTTTTTATCTCCAGATGTGATTCTTTTTTTTTTACAACAAATACACACACTTGTTGTATACTATTTCCTAATTCAAATGTTCTCAATTCAACGTCTTGTGTATAGTGATCGACTAAGAAACATGTGAATAATTAGTTATCAGATAAAAAATCAATTATACTAAGGATTCGTTTCAAGTTGAAGATACTACCTTGATTAACCATAGCTTTTTTCCTATCTCTAATTATATTATTTCTATTCCCTTTAGTTGTCTGACATTTTACTATTGAAAAAAATTAACTAACTAGCTATGACTAAAGAAAGAACATTTACCTAAGGTTGTAAAATTCGAGTATACTTTTTTTAGTCGAAATGTTTCCCAGTGTGGAACAGCTTTCATGTTTGACTTTCTTTACCTGTAAGCACTTAAACTAAGATTTATGTTTCTTCATGAACTGACTTCGGTTAGAAGACCATTGGAAAAGCTGGGAGTGCTGGACAGCTTTTTCGTCCTAGTATGGGACTCTTCAGCAGTACGTCCTCACCACAAAGGTTCGAACCCAAAACCTTCTGGTTACAAGGCGAGCTTGTAGACCATTAAGTCACTGAGACCCGATCCAATGGCCAGTCCATGAATGCCAACTTCTGGGAAGTCATAACCAGTGGAGTACAGCAGGTCGGGTTTAAGGACAAATACTCGCCACGGATGATATTGGCCAGTGGTTGAGCTATATCATGAACTGGCAGAAGTTGGAATTCATGGTCTGGCCATTGGATCGGGTCCCAGTGGCTTAATGGTCTATGAGCTCTCTGGCCTTTTAACCAGAAGGTCCTTGGTTCGAACACTGGCGATGCGTGTATTACATAGAAAATAAACTGTAACTTTTACACAAATTTTGTTATTTAGCTGCTAAGGGTTAATCGACAGACTGTGAATCTGCGCTTGCTCTGTTTCACATATGTACATCAGTCAGTAATTTTCATGTCTCCTCTACCTTAAAGGCTACTGTTTATCTTTATCGCAGTTTATTTTTTGTATTGCTCAAAATATTTTCGGAATTATTTTTCATTCCTGTTTCCGTCTTCATTG